GGACGGTTGGATAACCCTGTTATGGAGTTGGTGTCTTGCAGCATCCCTGTGCCACGTCCAAAGCCTCTTGCTCCACTAACTGAGCCAGCTCTGCCTCATTCCTCAGCCTTAGAGACTGTCATGGCAGATGGAACCCGGACTAAATGAACTCAGCAGACGTTGTGGAAGGATGGCCCAGAGACAGAGGAAATGAAATCTGTGAGACCCAGGGAAGGGCTGGTGGTGCCTTAGGATGTGTTTGGAAACCTGAGCATGATGTCAGTGCTATGGAATAAAGGTGGAGACTGTGCTGCTTTCGACAAGGATGGAGTTAACTTTCATGGCAGTATTTCACACCACATGATGCCATGCCCAGGGATTGGGGGGCTGGGCTCTCTCAGGCACACACCAATTTTGGGTCCAGTCCAGTCGGGTGTTGCTGGGGGGTGGGGGGGCAGTCACTGCGCCCGGTAAGCTCCTGCTGCATTTTTACCCATTTCTTTTTTGCACTTGCTATTTTTACTAAATATAACAAATACTTTCTTTTTATTCAACCTATGAATTTTCTTCTTTTTTTATCCCTCCCCTATTTCATGTCATGGGATGCGGAACACTCCAGTGACCAATCAGGGTCTGGCACTCCAGCTGTACCCCCTCCCAGCTCAAGAAAATCAACTCTATCCCAGCTGAAACCAGGACAGTGTCATAGCAGATTAAAGATTCTTGTGAGTGTGGGAGAGAACTGGACCCGAAGCAAACGCTTCAGGTGATCGCAAAGTAGGAATGGGGCAGTCTGGAGGGTTTCTGTCAGAGTGTTTCTGGAGTGTTTCCAAAGCAGAAGGTCCGGGGGCTGTGCTGGGGTGTGTGAACCCTCTGGGACGAGCCTGAGGGTACAGGAAGGTGCTGAGGGGACATGATGGGGGCCTGGGGACACCCAGAGAGGAGCCATGGCCCAATGGCAATCTGTGTCCCTACCCCCCGCAGCGGAACCCTGCCCCACCCAGCCTGGGTGACACGTCACAATGTGACCCCCCTTTGTGACACGTCTCCGTGTCTCCCCCGGCACCGTATCTAAGCAGCGCAGTCCCACAGTGTCTGACAAGACAGGGAAGGGACAGGGCAGGAGCACAGTGAGGAGACTCCTGAGCACAGCCCACGTCTTTCCCCTCCACACCTGGCGATTCCCTTAAGCTGACCCGCCCCGCACTGTCCCTCAACCACTTTCCTCTATTTTTGAGGATGGCAGAGAGACCCCCCAGCAGCCCCAGGGTGGTTTGGGAGGAGGTGTGTTCTCCCCAGGAGAGCATCTCTCCTCCAGAGCCCTGTGAGGTGTCCACGGTCCAGCTGCTGCAGATGGGTGAGTAGAGGGCTCCCCAGGGCTGGCTCGATGCCGGGACCCCGTTTCCTCAGCGTGGGGCCATTTAAAGCTCTTCGCCGTCTGGGAGGCTCGTTGGCGAAGGTGGGGTGTCCTACCGACTCTTCCTTGTTACCTGTAGGCGAGACACTACTGGAGGAAGATCCAGAGCTCACAGAGCTCCAACCAAGACAGGACTCTGGGAGCACCTGGCTGCTTTCTTCGCTTGACAGCAGCGACATGACAATGGTAATGAGCTTCCCCCCTCGTGGGGACCTTGGTCATTGGCATCAGCTTGTGCAAGAAAATGGACTCAGGGGTGGTTGAGCTGATCAGCCGTGCAGCAATGTCGGCATGCTGGGAGTGACACGTCTTCCCCCCCCCATCCCTCCTCCCGTAGGTGTTTGGCGAAGACCTCCAGCCTTCTGAGAGGATGGATGTTCTCCTCATGGCCATTGAGTCCTTGACAGCAGATGATGTCCAAGACAGGCAGATGGGCAGAGACATCGTGGACACGGCCATGAGAGACCCCGCGTCCTGGCTGATGGATGTAAGTGCCCCATGGCTGGATTGTCCGCCTGTGTTAAGACGTGTCAAGTCTTGTTCTTCCCTCCTGCCCTAACCTGTCTCTCTCAGGCACCCGAAACCCATTTCAAGGTAGCAGGGAGGGAGTGGGAACAGCAGCACCACCCTTCCCCATGTCCCCTCCAGGTACCAAAAATTATGAGATACATCCACAAAAATGTGGAGCACATCCACACGGAGCCAGCCCGGAACAGCTTGGACTCACTGCTGCTGCTGCTGACCAGGTGGAGCTCCAGGGAGGTGGTCCGGAGCCTTCTGAGGATCTCTCCAATGTGTGACAGGTACAGACCCCAACAGCCTTGTACCACGGGGAGAGTGGCCCAGGAGATTCTCTGGCTGCCAGACCCATGGAAAACTGCAGGACAGCCCTGAGGTGCAGGGCTCTCCATCCCACCACGCTTCCCCATTCAGCCAGAGCTGGCCCAAGCGGAGCCCCTGCCCCATGGGAACAGAACCTCAACCCCCTCGGCCTCCCTGGGCACCCCAAAATGAGGGAGTGAGCAGGGCCGGGGTCCAGAGGAGCTGAGGCAGCCCGACTGACCGAGTTGGCTCTGGCTCCGCAGCGCTGCCATGGCCATGTGGGAGGTGATGATCTCCATGCCCTGGGATTTGAGGAGTGTCTTGCTGGAGCTGGTCGATGTGCTTCAGGACTGGCGGCTGCGCAGGGTGTTCAGCTCTGCCACGGAGGACGCCTGCATCTACCCCTTGGCTGTGAGTGACCCATGCCCATACCCAGCGCTCTGCCTTCCTCCTCCTCCTCCTTCCCCTGCTCAGCACCAGCCAGACCCCCGTGCCACACGCTCAGGCCCACCCCATGCTGGTTTGGCCCCACCAAGCCTGTTCTGGCACAGGCAGCGCTCTGCCCTCCCCCCTGCCTGCATCCCCCTGCCCAGCTCTGCAGCCTGGAGAGCCCGGGAAGGGGCAGAAACCAGAGTCAAGGCAGTTGCTGGTCTTGGGTCAGAGACGTGGGGACTCGGAGGTGGCTTCAAGGGGAGAGGGACGCTTGTCATGGACCATGCTGGTGTCGGGGAGGGAGCCCTGCAGCTCTGCTGGTCTCTCACCACTGTCTCCATTTTAGCATCTGCTCTGTGCTGACATTGACACGAAGGAGTTTGCTGCCCTCTACAAAGCCCAGAGGTACCTGAGGCATCCCTGCCCTCTGATGCTCTCGCTGGTGCTCACGGGCCTTGTCACGCTCTCAGAAACACCTGAAACGGTGAGTGGGGGGTCGGCAAGGGGAGCCACATCAGCAGCTGGGGGCTGGGACGGTGGGGGGGGTGTCTTTCACCACTTCACAAAAAGGCAACGGTGTGTTTTGTACAGGCCAGAAAACTCCCGGTGCTGATGCCTGACATACTGGAGACCCTGACAGATGCCAACGCCGATGTCAAGACAAAGGCTCTGGTGGTGTTCATCAATGTGATGGGTCACATGAAGAGGGAAGAGGCCAGCCTCATCTCCCTGAAGCTGGCAGAGAAGCTCCTGCCCCTCTTCGATGATGTAAGGCTGCCATGGGAGCCTGAGCCGAGGCGATGGGTGAAAGATGGCTGCCCTCCAGTGCAGCCATGCGGGAAGCATTTGGGCAGGGGTCCCCCCCTTACTCCTCTTATGTAGTCTTTTGGGGCTCTTCCCCTCCTCGCTCCTCTTCCAGGGCCTTCTGGGGTTCTGGGGCCGTTGAGCTGCAGCTGCAGGTCTGGCTGACAGCTCCTGTGTTCAGGATCTGACCCCAGAGCAGCTCCTCTCCCTCAGCCACGCTAATGCCCCTGCTCCCCATGAGCAGGGTGCTGAGCTCCCTCTGTCCTCTTCCCTGCCAGGAGTGCAGCCAGCTGCGGGAGCTCTCCATACGCCTCTTCAAAGACGTGACGAAGACCGCAATGGGGAGAAACAAGAAAAAAATGGTGAAGAAAGTGCGGAGTGTGCTGCTCCCACTGTTACTCCATATGAGTGACCAGGTGGAGAGCGTGGCCAAGGTACAGTGACCAGCGATTGGTGTTGCGGGGAGGGGCGTGCTGACACCATGGGGGTGGCCTGGGCTTGAAAGACAATGGGAATGTGTGTCACTGGTCCCAGTGCTGCAGAGCTGGAGGGGGTGGTGGGGACCCCCCGGCCCACAGGAAGGGTCCCTGCAGCCCCAGCACGAGCAGGGACAGAGAACCTGGCACAGACAGTTCCCTGCTCAGTCAGGGCCAGCTCCCAGAGCGCGGGATGGCCCCAGGAATGAAGGGGGATCCAATCCCGGGATCACCCCGCCCCCCCAGCTCAAAGCCAGGCCCAGAGCAGGAGGATGCCAGGTCTCCTTCCCTGGGCTCTGGTGCCATCTCCCAGCCTCTGCTTCTCCACAGGCTTCCCGGGACACCCTCATCGCCTGTGGAGACTTCCTGGGCTACAGCAGGCTCAGCTCCTTGGCCAAGACATGGCAGACAGACCTGATTGGAGAGTGCTTGGTGAGGACAACACCCAAAGCCCAGGGCTGGCTGGACAGGGGCTGCGTGCCTGGGGCAGGGGGCACCCCTGGGGAGGGCTGTGCCGCTCTGCATCGCCGCCCTGCTCCGGCCCCGCTGCTCCAGCTGCACTCTCCTTCCCTGCCCTCCAGCACGCAGCCCCCAGGGTCTCTGCTCCAGGAGAGCCCGGCCCAGCTGGGCCCTGGCAGCGGGACGGAGGGGTCTCAGCACCCCCAGCCCCCTCTGCCTGTGGCTCTCTCTGGCCCTCAGCCCCACGGGGCTCCCAGCTGGGGGACGGGAGTCACTGGGAGGCAGTGGGGGTGCTGGCAGGAGGGACTGGTCTGGATGGCTGCGGAGGGTCCATACCAGCCCCGTGCCCTTGTGCTTCCACAGATAATGCACAACAGGAACAGGCTGGATGAGTATCTGCTGCAGTGCCTGCCCTACCTGAAGGAACCTCAGGCCCCCGTGCGAGAGGAGGCCGTCAGGTTCATCGGTGAGTCCCCGGGGACCCACTTCTGGCCACCCAGCCCCAGTCTCCACTGGTGGGCTCGCTGGGGGTCTTGCTGGCTCCCAGTGCCCTTGGGTGCTGTCCTTGCCAGGGGCCAGCCCTGCCCAGGGGGAGCCGAGCTCTGACATTAGTTCTGTGCCCCAGGACTTGCTGTTCTGCAACAGAAGACCATGAGCCAGGAGAGTGTGTGGGAGATCTGCGATGGTGAGTAGGGGACAGAGCCCGGGCAGGTGCTGCCATGCCCAGCCCCGCCCCAGGAAAACGCTCCGGGGGCAGACGAGCAGTTTCAGGAGGGTTTTTCCAAGAGCAGTTTCACGAAGTTGTTTGTGTCTTAACACATAGGTTAGCATATCTCTTTAGTAAGGTTTTGAAAATGGAGGAATTATGTTTTCTCACCAAAAAGGAAGGGAATTTGTGGGGAAAGAACAGCCGTCTCTGTCCTGCCCCTTGCCAGGAGGCTGATGATGTGCAGACTCCACAGTGATGCTCAGATCAATACATGGGCACGCTGAGGGCACACACAACTCTAGACCAGCTCGTATGGCAAAGGGGAAAATTACTCTGTGGCCTGGCCCAGTCCTGAGCTCCTTTGTGTGTCGGGGGCACACGGGTCGTTCCTGAGCAGCAACTTCAGCTGCTCTGGGTGTATCACCGGCTCCTCCTGGCAGGGAAGGAGATGGACGGGTCTGGCATGGGGGCTGTCTCT